GCTTAAAATTCTTGACTAGTTTCTATTTTCTAAACTGATTCTTCAGTCCGGGCTTTGTGCTTATGTAGCTGAGGTTCTGCCAACACAGCGGAGTTGTCAGTGGGTCCTGGTTCAAGAGCACAGTGGATAACTGGGGCAGTGATTTCTTAAATTTAGCAAATAGCTTAAAATTCTTGACTAGTTTCTATTTTCTTCATATCTTCAAATGGTTCTTGACACCTTCTGTGTATTCTTTGAAATGAGATTAGCTTTTGTCTGTATCTTCAGTATAACCCCTGAGCACACTAGAACCATTTGTGTAGGTAATGCCATCTTTCTTTCGTTGCTAATTTTAACAAATCTTGTCAGTGTTTGTTCTACTGATAACTGGCTTGGGTTTGGAGGGTGGGAGAAGAGTGCGTGAGTAAGTGTAGCTTTAATTGCTGATTCATTAAACAATCTTAATGCTAATTTACTGAAAAACTATCACAGATCATGTACATGCACTATGTTGTCTTGTAAAGATCTAGGCACCCCACAAATGCCCACTTGAAGCTGAGCTGTGTGAGGATAGTGTTGGGCTTCAAGCATTGTGCTATTGAAAATGCTGTTTCTTAGTTTACATGCTGTTACTTAGTTACAAACCCTCAAATACTGAGGGTTTCTGAGGTCACTTGAAGGGTTTTCTAAGGCTACCTGACACTTCATTGAGGTAGGGAAAATGCCAACATTTACAAGTTTCATGATTTACAAGCTCTTGTGAAACGTCTGCTGCACCGTGTCTTTTTTTTTTTGTCATGCTTGTGTGTGGTTCTAAAAGAGACCAACACTGAGACAATAGCAAACTTAAAACTTACATTTTCGTTTGGGGAGTTTATTACCACTCAAAGAGCTTTGGCTTTGGTGGTAGAGGTTTGGGGTTTTTTTCCACTTCTTATTTAATGATATTAACAATTAGACCAACTCATAGATGGGGCCCTCAGTGATATGGTTTAGTGGTGGTCTTAGCAGTCCTGGGGTCACAATTGGATTTGATGATATTAAAGGTCTTTCCCAACCTAGTTGGTTCTATGATAATATCAAAGAAACTGCATTGGCATCCTGTTGATGCTTTCAGAATATAGGACAATTATAGATAGTTATTCTAATTAGTTAGCTGTCACAGCAGTTTTTGTCTTGAGAAGGAGGAGGCTTTTTAAGAGTTTGGTTTCATTCTGAATAAGTAGGTAATTTTGAATTCCATTTTATTGCAGTGCTAAGGAAACAGTTGTATTATTGATAGTCAAGTCATCAAACCACTTAAAGCTTAATATATTGCAGTCACCAAGTAGGAATTAACTTGCAACACTTAATGTTATCAAACAAGGATAACGTTTGGTTTCTTGTGCAAGTATTATTTAATTAATTCTTTGATGGGGGTTATTTTTGTTTTGGCAAAATTTTGACAATTTCAAGTTTCACAAATAGACATTTTATTTAAACTGTTGCTGTGATGTTTAGTACCTACTGTTTATTTAGGTCCTTATGTGCTAGGCATTGGATTCTAACATAATGAATTGAATATTTTTAAGGATCACATATTTACCACATAACTTACATTGAAAACCAGCAAGTTGAAGTTTTGTTGTAGAAACAGAAGCACAAATTTCAGTGCAGAAGGCTCCCTATAAAGATCAAAAGTGGAGACTCCTAGTGAAAGTATCCTAGTAGATCTTAACGAACGGAAGTGATGTCCTGAAGAGTTACAGCCCTTATGGTGTCTGCAGAGGGAGGATGGAGTTCCCTAATGTGTGTGTTTCTATCAGTGCAAAATAAATGTTTTAGCAAAGGGACAACAGATTGGAAGGGGGAGGCTGAAGTGTCTTCCATTGATAGTGCAGCTCCTGTTGGTTCAGGTGCTTGTGAAACTGGCCTCAGCTGAAGGCTGAGAGAGACCTTTCCCAGCTTGAGTGTGAAGGAGCAAATGTGTGACCAGTTAGAAATTATGTGCTGCTTGTAGATGGTGGCTCAGCATTTGAAACTGTCCTTACGTACACAGCAGAAACTTTCAAAGTGAGTGATAAAACTTATTTAAGTAACACAAATATTAAAGAAGATGACTAGAAACTTGTGGCCTGCAAGTTGAGGACGGAAGTGCGTTACTGAGCTTGTTTTCCTCATTGATTGTTCTCTTTCTCAGTGCTGGGTAGAGGAGAAGGGGAGAAACACACAGTAGTATATCAGCAGTGACTTGGAGTGTTTAAAAAGCTGTTTCTTCCCAGGAAAAAACCCTAATGCTCTGTACATAAAATGGCACATCTTTAATTCATCAGGTTGTAGTTTATGTTGTGAACTAAATGAAATTTTCTGTTTGTTCTAGTTGGTTTGGATGCTGCTGGCAAGACAACTATTCTTTATAAACTGAAACTAGGAGAAATTGTCACCACAATTCCCACTATTGGTAAGATAACCAATTGTCATGTCTTCATTTTTGTTACTTTAAATTTGTGTGGGAGAGATGGGTTTTTGAAGAGTGTAGGCATTTGTGATCTTTGCTGTTAGTATAAGAATTGAGACAAACATGGGCTTTCTGGTACTGCTGTAACAACTGTGTCAGACCAAAGATATATCTAGACCAGAATCCTATGTCTGACAGTGGCCAGTAACTAATACGCAGGCGTATAGGAACCAGTTAAGCAGCAATACTTCCCCCAAACACCATGATCCTCACAGTTTGTGGCTAAAAGATTTGCTGAACCAAAGGTGGTGTACTTGGATTTAAGTGGCTAATTTTTTTTTTTTCTTCCTTTGAGTCAATTTTTTCTTGATCCAACAGTTGAGTTTTGATAAGCCATCTCATATACACTTGGGAGAAGAGTAACTTGGGAAATAGATATCTTTAACATGGTTAGAATTACATTTTAACACTAGAATTAACTATTTATAATGACTTGACTCTTTTATTTGTAGGTTTCAATGTGGAAACGGTAGAATACAAAAACATTTGTTTCACAGTTTGGGATGTTGGTGGTCAAGACAAAATTAGACCTCTTTGGAGGCATTATTTCCAAAACACACAGGTAAGAGTTTGGAGATGGCAATAGATAAACTAGGATCCACCTAGTGTTCTGTAGATCTACTTAGGATCTACCAGTGTTCTGTAATGGGCCAGAGCCTGTGGTTTGTTTGTGAGGCATGCTTGAACTTTGCTGTATCCATGCATCAGTTTCTTTGAGCTGGTATTAGCTTATACATAAAAAACTTTATTGCTTAAACACCCTTCTACATGCTCTTTTTTTTTAATAATCATCCTTAAAATACACAGCTTTTGCTTGCTCTATCAGTGTACTTAGCATGCTGAGTATCAAAAGTTATCATAAAATATCTTGTTACTGGTTGATTAGAAAGTGTCAGCTTCATATTGACGTGACTGCTGACATATCTGGTGACATAAGTGTGGTTCTTTGGCTCACAAGTAGTAAGATAAGTTGCTTGTTAGTATCAGAAGCTTTGGTCGTGGGGGGATGGGGAGTGTCTGGTTGGGTTTTGTTTCTTGGTTTTGGGGTGGTGGTGTTGACGGCTTTTGTGTGTTGAGTCCAAAATTGTTTCCAAGAAACTTCTGGGCAGCCTCATGCATGTGATTGGTGTAGAAAAATGGAGAAGTCTGGGTTGACAAAAAGGAGCTAGCAAAGTGCTGCTGTGAATATAGTAATAGTTAATTTCAGTTCCTTATTCGACCCCATTATGAAGTATTTTTGAAAGATGCTTTGATTTTCTTAGAATGAGAAACCATAAAGTTTTCAGAGTCTAGTGTGGGACTAACGAGTCCCACACTAACCCATAAACCAGCATTTGTGGTTTTAAACTTTGTTTTTATTTAGAAGGCCTTTAGGAGATTTTTTTTTACAGTTGAAAGTTATTATTTAGTTGTTTAGACAGGCATCTTGCATTGCTTAAACAGAAACGTCCGTCAAATTTACTTATGTAAGAGAGGAGACAATCACAGAATTCAATTTGAGGGTTGTTTTTTTTTTTGCTTTAAATAGTACTGTAAATAGTAAATATGTAAATGTTTACATTGATTTTTCAAACCTGCATAACTTCTTACAGGGCCTCATTTTTGTGGTAGACAGCAATGACAGAGAGAGAATCCAGGAAGCAGCAGAAGAGCTGCAGAAAATGGTAAATATCAATGCCTTCTGAAATAAGATTATACTTTTTGTCATAGTTTTGGATGCTTGTCAGTTGCCCTAAGACATGTAGGATTTGAAAGTTCTAGAGTTTGTAGAGTGCATATTGTATCCACCAGCTAATTCTGGTTCACATGAGTGTGCTTAGTGATAACTACAACTGTTTAGAGAATTTTAGCTCAAGAACTACTAATGTGTCAGAACTTTTCTTCATAAAACCTTAATAGAAATGCAGCAGATTAGGAATTTTGGAAAAACAAATGGGTGTGAAGAATTTCAGCAGCAAAGTGACTATAAATTGAAACTTCTTATTGAAAGAACATTTCTTTACTTGAAGTTGAGTGCTAGTTACATTTCACTCAGTACTTGCTAGTGACTTCAGAAGCACGATTGAAAATGTTTATAACCCTTAAATCAGGATTTAGGTTTCTTTAGTGACTGTTGAAGCAATTGAAGTACTCAACTGAGGTAATTTAATAATGACCATTTTTTTCTATAGCTTCAGGAGGACGAGCTGCGAGATGCTGTGCTGCTTCTGTTTGCGAACAAGCAGGATCTGCCAAACGCCATGGCAATCAGTGAAATGACAGATAAACTAGGTCTTCAGTCTCTGCGTAACAGAACTGTAAGTGCTAAACTTCCTGGTTGATAACCTCTTGTCTTCTTTTATTATAAATTATAAATGTAAGTTTTCCTTTAAAGGAAAGGGAGGTTTTCACCTCTTTCTGTAGAAAGATGCACATACCTGCTGTAACATTCTGTAGTTAACAGTTTACGGTCCTTGTTCAAAATAAGTGATTTAGGAGCACAATCCAGTGTGTACAGATTATTGCAGGTGTTTCAGCTCTCACCTTTTCCTGGAAAAAAGTACAGGTTTTCCAGTCTGTCGCTGAAATGTTTGACAAAGCAGGTGGTGGCCTTTTCCATTTCTCAGTGTTTGTTATTCTGGAGGAGAAAATGGATTCTGCATTCTCACCACTACAGAGATGGGAGGAAATTAAGTAGTTTCTGGATTGTTAGATTCCATCTGCACAAGCCTCAAGACATAGGGTTGCTTCACGTAAACCATCTAGACTTCTGTAATACTCCCCTAATGTCTCCGTGTGTTGACACTCTAAGATGATACCCATAGAAGATGTTGTAGAGGTCTGTTCATTTGGATAATTTCATGTCCATTTGCTGAGATAGAAATCAGTCTGTCAAAAACAACAAACCAGGTTTCAGCATATAAACTAAATGCAGGTTCTGTATTTGTTTCTTGATGCCCTAAATGGTGTTCTAGCATTTAGTAGGCTAACACTGAGTTTCTGCATAATGCCTGAACCCCGTCTATTTTATATATACTTCTCAACATTTTTAAAAATACCATCTGTTCAGTATTGACTCTACTTCTGGCACAAAGAACACCGTTTGAGTGTGTGTGTGAGTGTCACATGCTGTGATAACTTAGCTTGCAGTTTGTCAGTATTAAACTGAATTTTTGTTTGTGTTCTGCATTAACAGTGGTATGTCCAGGCTACCTGTGCTACACAAGGAACTGGTCTGTATGAGGGACTTGACTGGCTGTCAAATGAACTCTCAAAACGCTAACTCAAACTGGATGACTTTCACCAGGGACATGTTTGATATAAGTGGTCTAGGCTTGTTACAACAAAATTAGTTTGCATCTTGGTTATTACAGTATCTGGAACTGATATTTGGGCAGGATATTACAGCGTTTCAACTTATTTTGTTGCCAATTATTGTTTACCGAGCTACATGTTGCAAAGGTAGCAATATGCTTGGGTAAAAATCTCCTTAACTTGGAAAAAGTGTATCTTCTGATTTTATTCCCCTTGTTAGCCTACATGCCTGAATATAGTTATTGTGACATCTTTAAGATCTGTTTCAAATACTCTTTTGAGCCCCAATAAATTAATGTTTTAATTTTTTTTCCTCCCTGCTACTTTTAGTTTACTGATGCCCTGTTTCATTCCTCAGACAGTCTGCTGATTTCAAAATGTAGCATTCCGTATGTATTTATTTCTCTCCCTTGCCAAAAAGAATTCCTCATACTGCTTGTTCCAGCCAAGGAAATGCTCTAAAACACTATACCAATCTACTGCACTGAGGAACATTTTAGTAATCCTTGGGTTCTGTCAGCCCAACTTGCCTTTGTGTGAATTGGATTTGATGGGTAGAATAGTTCTGTGCTGGTTGCGAAGAGCTCATGTTGAGGTTGTTTTTAATATTCAGCAGATTGTCTTCCTTTATATTGTATCTTTTTTTATGTTGCATGTTGCTTTTTGGTATCAGCCTGACTATTTTTGCCCAGTGTATAATAGTTCTGCTGAAGTTTTACTGTTTGTTGGTGAACATATCTTCATGAAGAAATTTTGGAAATTCATCAAACTCAATGGATTAGTTTCTTCATAACCCACTTGGAATTATTCCTAATAAAATGATAAAATGTATAGTTCTGTGTATGCTCTTCTTGATTCCTGAAATGATTGAACTGTAAGTTGTCACTTACTCTTTTTTCGTATACTGAGCTTTCCTGCAGCTTGAATGTGAACATCAGTCTCATTTTCTTGTGTTCAGAGCTATGTAAAGTGGGACATGGAAAATAGGCAACAAAGTTGTATACAGTGCAGTAGAGTAGCTGTCAGCAAGACATAGAATTCTGTGTCTGTTGAAGTTGTAAATCTAAAGTTCTTTTTAAGATGTCCAGATATGAAAATACTAACACTTACAAAAATTGTAATAAAACAAATACCAACTGCCTGGAAAGCATGCATGTCTGTTTCATAGTTGTATCTACATTTGAAAACCATCGTGGGTTCTAGCAGGAGAATCACACATTCTGTTGGTGGCTCACTGGGAAGCTAACTTGAACACTGGTACAGGGATTTAGTTAATATTCATAGTCACCCCAAAACATCAGCTCTATGCAACTGCTGCTGTCTGCTTTTGTATTTCTGCCCCCTCTGTAGTTCAAAAGACCAAAGTTAATGTTTTTTGAGGCTGCTACTAATGGATATTTTAGCATCTCTTTTTCTGTTGCCTGCCTTGCTGTATGGATGCAAATGTGGCTCAATCCTTCAACTGAAACGTTCTGTTCTGTGCGTTACAGGTCTTTAGGAACCCAAAGTGTGGTTTCATCGCAGTTTCACCCTAAGTGTCTCTTTTATCTCAGCTCTTGTTATCCTTGCTACAATGAATACCAGTGACACGGTCTGGTGAGCTCAAGCCAGTTTAAGTTAAGAGCATCTTCCAAGGCAGCTTCTGTGAACACAGCTAACTGAAGAAAATTCCATAGTTGTTGAATATGGTTGTTAACTCTATTAGTATGTAACAGAAACCCAGGAGACAGTGTAAGGGGAGTAGGGTTTTCCTTGCACTTTAATGAATTGCTGATTACATATTAACCAAAGTTGATACATCCCTGCATTGGATCAGTAGCTGTGAATATGCATATTTCTAGCAATGCAGTTCTTGAAATAAACCTTAAAAAGAACACTTTGTGCAGAAGAGGCAGCTTGTCCATAACACATTGCATTGGTAGTCCCAGTAGGTTAAAATGAAACAATGCTTGTGGCAAATGGAACACCATCTCCTCTTCCAAGGAAGAAGTGAGAGGCAGACTTTAAGTAAAAAAGCAGATAGTCAGAAACAAATTAGGCCTGATATCTTGAAGGAAGCATTCTGTTTGGTAGAGATGAAGATTTCATTCGTTTAATTATTTGAAATGCTTTTAAGTAACTAAATACTTGTGTTTAGGTGAGCTTTGTTTAGCCACTGCATTTTTGAGTTAAAGCGTGTGTATAGAAGTTGGTTTTTCACAGTCCCTGTGCCTGGCTTTGTGTACTAATAGGTTGTAGTTCTGCTGTAAAATGAGTAATTTCCCACAGTCAGAAAGTAGTGAAGATCTTGATCCTCACTGGGTCCTGAGTCTTCATGAGGGGTTAAGGCTACAGCTGATACTGAAGTGTAGTAACACGAAGTCAATAAAATTATTGGGTGTAATTGAGTACTCACTGTGGTGTTAATCAGAGCATAGAGAGGAACTGGAGCAAGTGCTTCAATCTTCCTGTAAACAGTCAAGATCACACTTTTGACCTCTGTTACTAGAACGATATTTGTGTCTTACTGCGGTCTGTACTAACTGCCCCTGTGAGGTTGTAGTCTTGGAAGCAAGGTCTCTGATAGGCAGTTTATTCGCAATAGTAATAAGCAGTGAAAGGGACAAAACACTTGATGGGTGGAATAATGTCACAACTGACAGAAGTGAATAGCTTTCACTCAGGTTGTTATATTCTCATCAGCTGTTCTCAAGTCAAAATTTTCAAGGTACACTCAGGTTTAAGTGTTCTGGATTCTAAGCAGCACTCCCTGGGGTTAGTGCACGGGGTTAGAGAGCTGCCCTGTCTTCAGATGACAAACATGAAGCAGTTCATTATTCCTGTTCTTACTGGATGTTGCTGTGAGCTGGAATCTTGGTGGGTTTCTTTTTCCTTTGGAGCTAGTGCCACTTCTGCAGCTACTGCTCATCTGCTTCTACAAGAACAAATAGTCCTGATGACTTCTTTTATTACGCTGCCTTATCTCTTAGTACCAGGACCACATGCAGTGCTGAAATCCTTTACCCTAGCCCGTTAATGTGGCTATCTGTCAGTAAAGTCGTTGGTTGTGGCAGTGACACTTTCTTGAACTGACCAAAATGATAATTTGTACCTTGGTCTTCTTACCTAAACACAGTGCAACTCTTCCACTTTAAAGGCACTGACTGTCATTGAAGACATCATGGATAGGTAAAAGTACTTGTTTGGTTGGGGTTTTTTTATGGCAATCTTCAAAATTGTTGTTTTCTGGCTAGAACAGTGACAATGACCTGTATATATGTTGCATGTCAGTAGCAATGTATAATACAGCCCTGCTCTCCAGATGCAGATAAAATTCCCATGAAGGTCCAATGTTCTCATGTCTATTAAATAAAGAGTTCAGATACTAACTTTATTTGTCATTCCTTACCAGAAGTCAGATACCTGAACTGAGCTGTTGTCTCAGAAGTTCAAAATCTCAGATAGGCGCAAGACTGCTAAAAATTTGTTCCTCATTCTACTGTAATGATGGGAAATCCTGAGTTACAGTAGCTGGAATTTTCCATTGTGTAGCACCAGCTCCTGTATTCAAACAACGGGTAAGTTCTACTGCACTGGGAGATCAGTGTAGTCATACTTATACACAAGAGTATTTATTTCAGTGTATCAAACTGCCAGCTTAGCTACAGAGAGCAAAGCCCTGAAGAATGAGTGTTTTTTCTTTTATTGGCCATGCTGACAGAACAAACAGAAACCAAAACAAAAAGCAACCACACGCACATGAAAAGATTCAGAGAGCTGCTTGCCCAATTTTGTGATGTGAGGGATATGGAGTGTTCCAGCTGCTGGAAGAGGCACACAGGTGAGCTTAGGTTAATGAACTGAAATGGGAGACAAGCTTAATGGGACTTCTACAAATCTGGGTTCTAAAGGTGATTTAGAGAGGAAGAATTAATGGCTGGGCAAGGTCCAGATGTGTAGGAGAGCTAAAAATCACCTTATGTTTAATAGGAAGCACCATGTATTACCTCACATGGATATAAACGTAGCTTGGGAGCATGGGGGTTACGTGCCCAAGGCACACCTAACGGCTGCTTTTCACCCCCCAAATAAATCACAATTATTTTGAACGGTGACTGTTTCCTAAGCCAGGCCCTAGTGCTGCATTCCCACTGCAGAAATGTCTAACCGGTTCCTGACACACTGCTGCTCCTGGCAGTCAGCCTGTGCTGCTGCTGCATTTTCCCAATGAACTAGGGGTACTTCGACTGGAGACTCTCCAGCACTAGCTCATGGGGCTGCATTTCCTCCTGAAGACAGTGAAGGATTATCTGCCGTGTGCAAGGGCAATCTAATTTTACTGGGTCTGTTCCAGTAAATTTCCCTGACGCTTGTTTCCTGCAGATGCCAGCTTCCCCTGGGCTGCAAGGAGACAGAGGCTGCAACCTGAGCACCAATACCGGGGGTGAGGGGGACACAATGCCAGGCAAGCCTGTTTTCTGAGCAGCTCCATCTTCTGGTACTATGGAGAAGTTACAGGGGTTTAATGTGTTGGTTTGGAAAGACTGAGGAATCCATTTGTAATGGCAATGTAGTTAAAGAAGAAGAAAATAATGTTTTTTAAAATTATAAGGGAAGCCCAGTTAGCCTATGTAAGCAACGTAACTTCACTTACAAGCTTAACAATTGCAGTGTTACTATTTATTTTAAGTGACTGAGACATTTCTTTTGCCAGTCTACCAGCCTGCATTACTCAGTGGCATTTAGTTGGCCTTGCAAATTGTAGGCAGCCTCTGACTCAGCTGTAATGTAGTCATTTTCAGTTGTTTCCAAGGTGCTAACACTTAGCTTTTCTTCTTGAACAGATCTTCCAGTTAATTTTTCTGCCCTTTTAAATGTTGTATACTTGCAAATGTTACATCTCTAGGTGCGAGCTTTCCCTCATTTGCTAAATAAGTAAATAGTCTTTGCCCAGATACGAGGTTTACGGCCTCCATTCTGTTTGCAAGATTTTCTCCCCACTCCTGTATCCTGAAGTTTAGGAATGATTGATACTTCTATTAGCAACTTTGTAGCCTACAAGAGTACAGACATCACCTTCCACTCATAGGCAAAACTGCATTACCCTTTACTTTTTAATTAGACTTAGAACAGTTACTGATCAAGGACCCACTCGACATATCTAGAGTCCAGTTTTAGAGGGTGAATTCTGTCCATCACTCCATTGCAATGATCCAACATCATGCATTGCCACATTCCTGGTTTTACTCCCATTTTTTATCCAAAGGCCCTTGTCTTGGCGAAAACACTGATTAAGCAAAAATTGAAATCTGTAGGTTTATGTATAAGCCTGCCAAAGCCTGTTACAATAAACACCCACTCTTATGTTTTGTGGCAGATCTGCTTAAGCAGTGAATGCCTTGCTCCAGGCAGGGATCCCTTATTCCCGCTTCCAAGCCTGGTCTTGCCCATTGGCCACAGGAGGCTTTATGGTGAGTAAGCTCAGGATATGAAGGGCCACTAAAACTGTGAATACAGTTGAAAAAATTAAAGGCCCTGTATTTTTATCTGGCTCACTTCTCTATTTTAGCTTGGTATGGTACAAGCAAGAACAAGCAGCCAGAATTCAGATGAAGGAGAGCAGGATGAGGCAAGAGAGGCTGGGATGAGAAGATGGAAGATTAACTGCTCATGTTGCTGAAAAAAAGATACTTGCAAAGGACATTTACATAAGACCTTTAGTAATATGGGATTTTACAAACTCGCTTATTAGTGGAACAGTCCTTTTACCAATTTCCGTTTACCTGTGTGTTTATGTGCAGTGGGTAACAAAATTCTGGACAGTTCATGAGGTGTCTTATGTCAAGACATGTTTTATGGGCCTGTATCTCTTTAGCCTTGTACAACCTCAGAGGCTAAACCTGCCTGTTGGCTTTACCAGTGCAGTTGTTTATCTGCATCAATTGGGTTAGATGCTCAGATGCTCCAGTAACAAAAAACATTAATAATTTTACTGGAAATAAGATAGAAAAGGCTAAAGAGCAGCTGTTTACTAGCTTCTGCAAAGCATCACCCTTCACAGTATAGCAGGTACTATGGCAGGAGGCAGGACCAATGACTCTCAGCAATACCCCATGTATCAGCAACTGCTCATTTTTAGTAGTATATAAACAGGTTAGTGAATCCCAGCCATAACCTGCAGCCCACCAGAATGCAGTGGAGGTAAGTAGCTGTGCAAAGACAAGGTATACAGTTTTTGTCAGCCTGGGTGGACTTGTTTTGCCATGAAAGACACCAGTAACTGGGGGAGGGGGGGAACAAAACCAAAAAACCAATTGACAACACTGACAATTGAAATGGGAATTTTATTTGGTGAAAGAGGGAGATCCTGTGAAATGGTTTTGAAATTACGTGTTTTCCACATGGACTAATGGATGCAAGGAAAGAAGCTGGTTAAACAATTCAAACCCCTTCAACACATTCAGTGAATGAAGGTATGCATAAAATACATTTCCCCACATCCCAGTTATCTCCTACAAAATAAGGAAGACCAGACTCTTTCTAGAAGGAAAAAAATGCAGATAGAAACCCTCCTAAAAACTCAGGTCACCTTTATATGCAATAGAGCAACAAAATAGAATTGTGATAAAGGTTTGCAGGTCACTTCAAAGATTTAGGCACAGACAGCTAATGCACCACATCAACTATTCTGCATCTCCCCCTACTTGACGATGATATTGTTAAGAGCTCCCTCCCATCCAGAGATGACTGTCCTAAACTTTAGTATTTCTTTCATTGCCAATGACTATAAACAACAGAAGGAACAGATGTTCAAAGCAGATGCAGTCCAATTTTATCAGGTGCTAAAGCTACCCTCACTACCCAACATGAAGTGGGCAAGCAAAACGCTTCCAAATCAACTATAACCTTGAATTTAACATGGTTGATTGTTGACAGAAATCCTACTCACTCGTAATTTAAAGAACAGCTTTCCAGAAGGTAGTAGGTGCATGTAAGTTGTTCATGCCAATTAATACAAAATTGGGTCACAGTCATGGTAAATGGAAAAGAGAATTTCTGAACTTAGCTTTTAAAAATTGTCTTCTCATGACAGGAATTTTACTGAGGCTGAATCAACTAATCCTTTATATTTCCTTTGGTTCTGAATTAAGCAGGGTTCAGTTTGGACACTCATATCAGATTTATGTATCTTTTTCTAACAAAATAATTCTTAATCCTTTAAAAACACGAATAAAAATGTTTATCATAATCCAATTTTCAAAACCCCCTGTTTTAAATATATTTCTGCTATTAGCATATAAAAAAGGAAGGGAAAAGTTGTCATGCAAATATTTGGAACAGTGTGATAATATTCAACAAAACCATTAAACACAGGAACTTTTCAGTGATCATTCTGACTTTCCTTTTAGTAGCATCAAGCCAGGGTGTAGCCTCAGTTCCCCAGCATTACATTTCTTGTTTGAAAAACCCCAAAAGCACCACGCATTTTATTTCCACTTTAAGTCACATATTAGTGCTATATGATCAGAAGGATGTGAAACACTTGGCAAAGCCTGATGGGTTGTTACTTCTTCATGACTTGGCAATGGAATGACCTGTTCAACCTCTAGAGAATTCCTGTCAATGAAGATGTAGTCCAGACATCCATGAAACCCACCGACATAGTTTGTGTAAGCAGGTTCTCCACAAGCACTTAGCAGTTTGAAAGGATGGCTTAGGGGCATATTACACTTTTCTTCTTCACCATTTGAAACCCAGTCTTCATGATCTTCAGCAATGCTACCACTGTTAATAAAAGTGTAAGTTCCAGATGATGGTGTACTATTAAAATCTCCACAGAATATGACTGGTATGCTTGGATACAAGTCACATGCTACGTGCTTCATGTGAGACAAGGCTACAGCAATTTGGATGAGACGGATGTGCCCACCTAAGAACATAAAAATGTATTAGAGTACTTCACGGTAGCAGTGGAGGAATTTCCCAAGCTGCTCATGTCACATATAGCTCCAAAACACTGATCTCATTTTAAATTTTCTGTGCTCTGTGTTTTAGAATAGTTTTCTAAAATAAGGAATTTTCATTATAGTTATAAGGAAGCTTTTGAAGTTTGTGACTATGAAAGTTTTGGAGAGGCAGACAATGTGTACATTTAAATTTGCACATGCATGAACTCTGAGCCTTCAACACACATATTACAGCAGCTTTCCAGGTCATGGCAACCATTCTAGTAATATTCAAAAAAACCACAGAACCATAAGAAAATTAAGTTTTAAAGAGGAGAATCTCTTCTAAAAGCTTCTGTAGCCCAAACTGGTTGCTCCCCTAGCAGTCCTCCAAGACAGCTACCTCAGGTACAGTAGGTCTGGGAAGCCATGAGCACACACGACACCAGCTGTGTTTTATGGTGTACTCTTGAGTGAATAGTGTGTAACATGACTTGCCTCACTCTCAGCTGTATTCTACTGACTCCCAGGGAGGAGAGAACAATCTTGCTCTAAGGAAAATAAACAGACCTAGCAGCCTGGCTTTGATTCATCTAGATAAAAAGCAAAGCAGGAAACCCTCAGTTCCAGAAGAAAACATTACAGCTGCAAAAGAATGGGGGGAAATCTCCCTGGGAAAGACAAAAACCTTTACAAACCCAGTTATCTGACATATAGGAACATGACAAAATTACCTTTTGGGTGCCAGTACAGGTGGGTATTAGCTACACAAATCTTCCTGGAAGGATCACTTGTAGACTGAAGAACTGAAACCTTCAAGAGAAAAAGCCGTTTTTGGTTAAGGCTTAACTAGAGTGGTTACGTATTTTTAAAAATGAAATAGTTTGCTTATTTCTTTGTGACAATCTAGTTCAAAGAACCTGATGCTTATAACTAAAGAAAAATACAGCTCCTAAGTTGAGTCTATTTATCTTCTATATAAAATCTGGGTATCAGCCAATACATATGAGTATTTGACAAATGTTCTTTTGCCCATAAGTGCCTGGTTTGGCCTTATTTTTTCCTTCTGTCCACTCTGTATTTTTCCATAAGATGTTGCTAATGCTGTACCATGCTTTAATTTTATTTTCTATTCTCCCACCTCTGGTTTTAGCAAGCAAACTGCAGCACTGCACCATTAAACTGAACATAAATTTAGAAGCCATTTCAGTTATCAGGGGAAGCTCATTACTCCTACTCAGTGCACGAATAGGAAGCTTTTACCAATGAGTGTTTCTGAAATCCCTGAAGTTTACACATTTGTACCTACACAACAGCTCTGCTGGAAGACCCACTGGAATCAACAAGCTCACAAACCTGTCCAACCTTATTTCTCTCCTTACTGTCACAAGTGGCACTATTAAAGCAAGGTAAATTAACTGAACCTCATTTAGAACTTATCTACAAAGTTTAAGTTTTATGAAATACATATTCTGACACAGGAGAGTAAGTAGTGAAAAACTTGGCAGCTGATAGCACCAACATGGGCCCAGAATCTCAACTGCTGTCTTCATCTGAAAGTGAATAATTTTGCCTTTTTTGCCAGATTTTGGTAATGCCATCTATCCAGTTCACTAAAGACTCAGTGTTTTGTTCTTGGTCCGAAATTATTCTTCTGCTGTACCTAGGTAACAGAGAACATACCACTGTTCTCTGTGTTTAACATTGTTACTCTCTCACCTCCTTTTTGCTGTGATCTGACACTCAAACCTAATTGGGCTGCACCTGCCTGGAAGCAGTAGGCAGAGGAAAGAGGAAGGAAAAATGCATGTAAAAGCTGGTACCTGCAGCACAGATGATCTCTGCAGCACCTTCTCCTGCACTAAGGGATACTTGGCCAGCTTATCACACAACTCCTTGTGCACTGGGTCTGAGAGCAGGGCTTCGCTGAAAGCAATGTCGTGCTGGCTAAGGAGGCTGAACTTGTCCCTGCGGTAGAAAGTAGCCAGGCCTTCGTGCTGCTTCTCCTTAATCTTGAACAGCCCTTCGAGCCCAAAGGCATCCAGGGCTGGAGCCAAGCTGTCCACGAAGACGGACTTATCCACTTCTTGCAAGCAGAGGAGGTCGGCGCTGTAGCCGGCCAGTTCCTTCTTGAGCAGGTTCTGCCGGTAGTCGAGCTCCAGGGCGTACGGGGCGCAGTACGGGTAGAGCACGGTGCGGGAGAACTCCGTCTGGGCGTAGATGTCGGCCAGGATGTTGTAGGTGACGGCGCGGACGGAGCCCTCTCCGCAGACCTTCCTGGTGTAAAGGTGCCGGGAGTCGAAGGTGCAGGCGCCGGGCCCAGCCTCCACGGGGCCGCTGCTCTCCACTTCGCGGG